TTGCAAGCTTCTCTTTTTTTTCTGCAATGCAAAATGTTGACCATGGCCCGGCTCTCACATCCAGCTGGGCACTGGCCTGGGCACACGCTTGCAATGACATCGGACAATATGCTGCTGTGACGGTGACACACGGGAGCAGGCTTGCAAAACGTGCTGGCATGATACCCGGCTTATTTTTTTGCATCTTCTCAGCTGCGGAGGTTGGAGCCGAATGACGGACACACAGCCTCTCTCTCCACACCTCCTTCTAGAAACTGCACAAAAGTCTTGAAGTCACATGCCAAGTATGGCTGCTTCTGCCTCATCTTTCCAGCCTCCTCCTCATTGACGGGCAAAGGCATACGAGCATGCAGCCACGGCTTGGATCGAGCACCAAACTTGTCCTTGTGAGCTTTGTAAACTGCAAGAAGCTGCTTGACGGACGCCCTGACCTCCAGCTTGGAGCCTGGCAACTTGGCTGCCCGGATCAGCACGTCATGCAGCAAAGGGAAACGGTCATCCTCTGCATCCACATACACCTGGCGCTTCTTTTTTGTGATGTCCGTGACGAACTGCACACCAGAGGGTTTCTGTGCCAGCATATTCGGGACGGATGTCAAAAAGGCCCCAACAAGACGTGCCACAATAGCCCCAGCAGTTCGAAAGTCACTCCGCAAATCTGGGACCACAACAACATGTCCAGCAGATGAGTGCTTGAAGGCCTTGTCCATGAAAGTGAACAAACCGCTGCCACCGCCACCGGACAGCACCACCTGCAAGGTGCGGTTTAGGGTTTAGGGTTTAGGGTTTAGGGACCCTGATTTGATTCCCTTTCTGAAAGCCTAAATTCCAAGAGTGAAACATAGTCCAGAACATTAGTATTTAGAAGAAAGACACAGAGCTTGATTTGCACTCCCCACTACAGAATCATGATTTCAAAGTCACTGCCAAGGCACCTGAAAACCATGAAACTGAATTTTCCGCACCAGGTCAGAAGATAGGTCGTAGAGCTCTGGCACCAAGGCAAAACCTGGACGGACGGCTTCCATGGAACGAGGCTTGGGTGCCCAGCGGCACAGATTGACCTTGCCAGGCTGCTTCTTGCTGTCAGGCTCTGCATTGATCTTGGCTTGGGTTCTAGCTGCAACCTTAGCAATCTTTTGACGGACTGTTACAAACTTCTGAGTCTTCAAGCTGTCCAGGACCTCTCGGTCAGGAGCTGGCACCCCAGCTTCTGCAAGCCAGGACTGACGATCGGAGCTGCTGGCTGCACTCATGTTCTCAACAGCTGCATGTCGTCGGCGCAAAAAGCCAGCCTCACTTCCATCAGCGCCCCCGTCCTCGTGCTTTCTTTTCTGCCCCGAATCTCGACGGACTTTTGCTGCCCTCTTCAACTTTCTGGGTGCCCCATAGAGTTGCACGTATCTTCGGAGGACGTTGGGCAAATACGGCGTTGTTGCAACAATCTGCCCCGCCTGTGTCTTCGAAATCTGACTGGCGGAGGGTGCTTGCATAGCCAGCACCAGCGATTCCATTGTGCTGCCAAGCATGTGAGCCCGATTTTTCTGCTCGTGCCAGCTGACGTCTTTCAGTCGCCGCTCCACATCACCCTCTGCAGGCTGAAAGCTCAAGTACAGACTGATAGCAGCACGGCCATGCTTCAACTCCTTGAAATCCACAGAAGCTCTAGCCCAGCTCTGACGAACGCCCAAGCCTAGCCGAGTGTGGTACGCCTCCGCACATGGCAGCATCCTCAGGATCTCCTTCATGCAATCTTTCACGTCCAGCTTGCCCTTCTGCAAAATTGTTTCCAGGCTGTCTCGCGTTTTTTTTCTCAAATCTGCCAGTTCTGGACGGGCAAGGTCTTTGAAGCTCTCTCCGAGCGGAGACGGCAGTCTGAAGCCAGTGAACAGCATCTGCAATGAGTTGTCTGGCATGCGAGCTGCAACCATTTCTTTCACATTCTCGACGAGCAATCGCATTCGCTGCAGCACCATGTGCCTTGGCTGTTGACAAAACTTCGCACACTGCACTATGTTGGGAAACAGTGTAGAAGCACCAGAAGAATCTGAGAAGGACATCATTGCAACAGCTAGGGTTTTCTAACTTTCCACACAGGGTTTATACGGTTTCTGTGTAAAGGAAACCCCTTACTCTAATTGCAATGGGTTACAACTATAGCATTCTGTAGCCTTTGCATCTACTTCGCACACAAAGCCTAAACGAGTTTTGCAAACTTAGTAAACCCAGAGGTTGCAATTATTGCAATCACGAGCCTCTGCACATCCTTAGGTCACAGGAACCCCAGCCACCTTATATGCCAAGTTCGTAAACCCCACAGGTCGCAATTATTGCAATCTGTAGCCTTTGAATATACTAAGATCACCGACATCCCAGTAACCCTAGATGCGAAGTATGTAAACCCCTTACCGCAGTCATTGCCTTCTCAGGCCTTTGCACACTTTTGGAGCACATAAACCTTTAACCTGCATCACATAAACCTTGAACCCCATATGCCAAGATCCTAAACCCTACACGTTCCAATTAGTGCAATCTGTAGCCTCTGCATATACTTAGAGCACCAACCCCAAGCCCAGCACCCGAAACCCAATATGCGAGCTTAGTAAAGA